GAAGGACATCATGCTTGGGAAAGTGGAGGGTCCACAAAGAGGAAGACTCCCAGTGAGATGCATTGACTGACATATAGCACCGATTGCGAGGTTGGAGCAGGACTTGACAGTGTTTTGTTCTGTAGTACAGAACGTCACTATGAGTTGGTATCGACTAGGTGGCACCTAGCGTCAACAGTAGTTACAGGTGACACTCATTATTTTTGCAGCTGATTTGTTATTTAACTACAAGATTACCTCAAGGGCTAATTAGATTGGTTGCTTCAAGGTTTGAAGAGTACCTGAGAGCAATGGTCTTAAGGTAGTTTCAGCCAGGTATATATATTTTTTTTTCTTCTTTGTTGTTCTCATGTATAGTCCTGATTATAAAATAGTCATTAATGGTAGTTGGACACCGTCTAGTTCTTCTGGTCTCATTATAGATGAGACTGTGGTTCGTGTAGACCAGGAGTGGGGAATGTATAGCCTACGGGCCTTAGATGGCCCACAAAATCATTGGGTCTGGCCCTGCCAAAGCAACCTCATTGCAGTTTGAGCCATCCCATTAGGGGTAAGTTAATTAAATGCTTCACCAAATATAGTAGGCTAATTTTTTTTTTTTTTAGAATCAATTATGTATTTTTAAGGAAAACAATAAATCTGGCAAAATATTTTCCCACATATTCCTCTCTCTCTCTCTCTCTCTCTCTTTTAAAGTTTTTATTGGGATAGTTTACATGGGAGAACATCAGCTCTACATCAATCCTATCGTCTTTTGTTTCATTGCAATGATTACAGTCCCCTCCATGCACCATTCAACAGCATTTGCTTCCATTCCCTCTGGGTTTTTTTAGGCTAATTTTTTAAGTTGATGGTTTTGTATGGCCCCTGAATGATGTTATACATTTGGGCAGAAGAAAGGCTATCCATTCCTAATGTAGACTACTAGTCCTGTAGACTAGCTTCTTCTAAATCTTTCGGCTTCCTTATTTCTCTTTGGCTCCAAGTGAGTTGAGACCAATAGTTGTATCTTTGATGGCCACTTGCAAGGTTGTAAAATTCTAGATACTACTCACCAAAGTAGGATGTAGAATATAACTTTATAAAGTCAGTTGACCAAGTTGTTCCGCTTGAACTTTTCTTTTTTTTATTTAATGTTTTATTGTGAATTAGGTGATAGTTTACATGGGAGAACATTAGTTTTAGGTTCATCCTATCGAATATCGTTTCATTGCCATGGTTACAATTCCCTCCATGCATCATCAACCAACCAAAGGGTATACTCTGAAACTCTGCCCACCCCTCTGACCCCCATTGTCAGCACATAGCCCCTCTCCCTCTCTGGGTCTAGAGTTCCCAGCCACTTCATCTCTCCAAGTCATTGTCTCTGCCTCCATCTCTGGCATCCCTGTTTCTCTCTGGGTAGGGTCCCACACTCCACTCTTCTCCCTTGATGGTCCCAGGGACCTCCACTCCTGGACTGCAAAGTCAATCACTCCACTCCTTTTGCTACAAAACTTCTACCTTTACATTTCCAACCCTCACAGTCAGTCCTGATAACAATTATTCACCATTGTATCACAAGAGACATATCCCCATCTCCTTTCATTAGCCCCGCCCAGACAGATTGGATACTACTCAGTGGAGATTCTACCTTCCTCTGAGCCCTCTGGATCTAGGCTCCCTCATGAAAACTTGTAAGCCAATCACTTCTTGCCTTTGTAGCCCCGCATTTTGTGTAGCCAATTGAACATATCTTTTTGAGGGACACAAATCAACTGTAAGCAGAGAATGAGGAGGCAGCTGATTAACTGGGGAGGCGGAATGGATGGTGCAGAATTCTGGCTTTGGAGTCAGGTAGATGCAGCTGATTGGTTCATTCACTGACGGCCTCTGACCACTCACTGCTGTACGAGACTCAGTGGAGCCTATGTGCCCACACAAACGTACACTCCTCACACTTCAAAACTGACTGAATGAAAAAGCAGGCTTCGTTCGGTCAGGCTCTCTGCTGGGTGGTGCTGACGACAGAGCCCTTTAGTCCTGTGAGAGGGAAGAGAAGAGAGGGAAATCATGAATGTGAGTGAGCAGTGAGAGGGAAGAGAAGATAAAGCTCTGAGATTGAACTGCAGGAAGGCTAGACTAGACTGGGGCTTCAGGGAGGATGTCTCAGAGGAGGAGACATTGGAGCTGAAATGGTAGAGCAGGTGAGTCAGGGCCAGAGTGCTGGGGCTGAGGCTGGGAAATTGTTTCAGGTGTGGGTGAATGATTAGAGGACAGTGTGGGTTCTCTCCCACCGTTCATTGCTTGGCTGATCATAGACAGGTGACTTCATTGCTCTAAGCCTTTATTTTCCTCACCTCTAAAATGGGCTGTGATAAATAAAGACACTAAGAAGCAGACAAGAAAAAGAGACAAATTTCAGTAAATGCTTTCATGTACTCAGTCTTTCCATACACAGTAATGTTGTTGTTGTTAGGTGCCATCGAGTCAGTTCTGACTCATAGCGATTGTATGCCCAACAGAACACATCTGCCTGGTCATGCGCCGTCCTCACAGCTGTTACCGTGCTTGAGCCCATTGTTACTGCCGCTGTGACAATCCGTCTCACTGGGGGACTTCACAAGCAGAAGGACTTGTGTGGCTGTGTGTCTAGATCTGGATACATATATGGGTAGAGAAAGACATTTGTGTGATTATGTGACTAGATCTGGATACACATATGAGTAAAGAAAGACATTTGTGTGATTATGTGACTAGATCTGCATACATATTACTCAAAATTTTCTCCATTTCTCATGATGTTTATTAGACCAGTTGTGAGAATTTTCACTTCCTTTGTGTTCAGTTATAAGCCATAATGAAGGCTATGGTCTTTGATCTTCTTCACTTGGTGCTTCAAATCTTCCTTATTAGCAGCAAGTGAGGTTGTGTCATTGCATTTGTGTTGTTAAGTGCTGTCAAGTCGGTTCCGACTCATAGGGACCCTGTAAGGGTTTCCAAGGAGCAGCTGGTGGGTTTAAACCACTGACCTTGTTAACAATCCAGTGCTTGTCTTACAACACCACACCATGCTCCAGCTCTTTTGTTGTTGTTAAGTGTTGTCCAATCGGTTCTGTCTCATAGTGACCTTGTTTAGGATTTCTGAGGAGTGGCTGGTGGGTTTGAAACACTGACCTGTGATTAGCAGCCCAGTGCTGATCTTATAACGCCATACCAGGAGTCCTGAACCCCGTGTAGTAGGTGTTGGTATTATCCATCTGCTCTGGTGTGACGCTGTGGGTTAATGCACTGGACTGCAAAGTTTGTTTGAACTGCAAGGTCAGTGGTTCAAGCTCAGCAGCCACTGCTCAGAAACCCTACGCAGGGTTGCTATGAGTCGGAACCGACTCGACGGCGCTTAACCACGACAGATGATTTTTTTAAAGGAGTGTAGTGCTTTTTATGAGCCAACTTGTTATTTATCTCCCAGTTTGGTTTCAGTTACAAAGTTTAAAGGATGCCCAGGCCTTCCTTCTGAGGTGCCTCTGGATGGACTTGAACCTCCATCCTTTGTATTAGCAGCTGAGTACACTAACCATTGGCATGACCCAAGGACTCCTGCATGCCAGGTGGGGGTGCCTGCGTGCCCAGCCCCCAGTAAAAACCCAGGGTGCTAAGTCTCAAGTGAGCTTCTGGGTGGATAGCACTTTACACATGTGGTGAAATCTTGTTGCTGGGGGACTAAGCAAACCTTGTGTGACTGCAGTAGAAGCTCCTGGAAGCTTGTGCCTGGTCTCCTCTGGATTACATCCCTTGTGCCTTTTCCCTCTTCTGGCTGCATTGTGGATCCTTCTACTATAACAAGTTGTAGCCATGAGTAGGATTGTACGCCGAGTCCTGGGATGAATCTCCAAACCTGAGGGTGGCCTGGGGACACTAATTCCATCAGCCTCTTCCAGCCCAACACCAAACCTACTGCCTCCACGTGGATTCTGAGTCATAGCAACCTCTCAGGACAGAGGTGAATTGCCCTCCTAGGTTCCTGAGCCGCAGTCTTTACAGAAGCAGACAGCCTCGTCTTTCTCTAATGGAGCAGTTGGTGGGTTTGAACCTCTGACCTTTCAGTGGTCAGCCGAGCACTTAACCACCAGGCCATGAGCGCTCCTATTAAGTATGTTAAATGAGGATTCAATGAGACAATGCATTTAAAAAATACATAAAACACATAGTGATGGGCACACAGGAGGGACTTACAAAAAGCTCTTTAAAAAAACAAAACAAAACAACGCTTGCTGTTGAGTTGATTCTGACCCTTGGTCATCCCATGTGTGTCAGAGTAGAATGGTGGTGCTTCATGGATTTCCTGTTTCTTTAATTTCTGTACTTAATGATTTATTTCATTTTTTACCTTGAGTGAAGGTTTACAGAGCAGATGATCATCCATCCCACGTTTAACAAACCATATATTTTGTTTCATCACAATGACTGCAATTCCCTCCATGCACCATCAGTGAACACTATTGACCTCTGTTCACTTTAACTCTGTACCCCTCCCTGTATTTTATTTCATTTGGTTGTTGCTGAGATTATACACAGCGGAAAACACGCATCAGTTCAAGCCATTTCTACACTAACCGGGATTACTTCCTTGGGGCTGTACAACCATTCTCCCTCTACTTTTCGCAGAAGCGCCCTGTCCCCTAAGGTTCTTATTTTCATCTTTTAAGTTGTCCTTGTCAATTCCATCCTCTAGAGATACAATTTGAAAAGAATACAATGCTCAAGGCAGACATTCTTAAGGGAAACTTATTTATTGTTTGGTTTTAAGAAGACTTCAGGGATGTTTTTGGTTTAAAGATTATCTTAGAATATTACTGTAATGCATAGGTTTTCAGCCCCCAATGTTTCAGTTAGTGGCCAAGTATGTTAACCACTTACACCATCCAGAATGCCAGTTTTATTCTTAGGAATATTGCTGTTAATTCTGGGGGAGGCTGAGTGGGTCGGATGCCCAGCTGACAATGCCATCTTCCTGTCAGAGGACATATCGGTGGTATTCAGCACAGCCTCCTGGGAAGGCCGAGCCGACTTCTCCCAGGCCGACGTGCACCGCCAGATAGCCATTGTGTTCAAGACGCCACCCTACGAGGACCTAGAGATTGCTGAGCCTGTGACTGTCAACGTCTTCCTGCAGCGACTCACTGATGGTGTCTGCAGCGAGCCACTGCCCTTCACCTACCTGCCTCGGGACCACGGTAACCATGACAACCCAGGGTGCCTGCTACCCCACCCCATCCCCACCTCCAGACCCTGGCCTTTGCCTTGACTTGTGGTAGCCAGAGGCAGAAGCAGAACATAGGCTTGGTGCCAGATGACAGTCAATTCCCACTCATAGTGACCCCTATGTTACAAATAGAGCTACCCGATACCCATAGATCACCAGACCTTTCTTCCAAGGGGCTCTGGGTGGCTTCAAACCCCCAACTTACCAACCTTTTTTAGAAATGAAATGCTTAACTATTTGTGCCACCCAGGAACTTTAGGGTCTGTAGTGCTGTTGTTAGGGGCTCTTTTATTTTTATTTAAAAAAATAACTTGTTTAATTTTATTCTTTTTTTTTTTTTTTTATTTCTAAGACGCCTTTAAAACATTTGAAGTTTTTTTTTTTTTTTTTTAATGTTTTATTGTGAATTAAGTGATAGTTTACATGGGAGAACATTAGCTTTACATTCATCCTATCGTATGTATACCATTTCATTTCCATGGTTCTAATCCCCTCCATGCATCATCAACCAACCAAAGGGTATACACTACAGGTCTGCCCCCCAGTCTTCAGCACACAGTCACTCTCCCTCTCTGGATCTAAAGTCTTACCCAGCTGCTCCATCTCTTCGCGTCATTGTCTCTGCCTCCATCTCGGCATCACTGCTTCTCTGGGTAGGGTGCCGCTCTCCGCTCTTCTCCCTTGATGGCCCCAGGGACCTCCGATCCTAGACTGCAAAGTTAATCACTCCCCTCCTTTTGCTACAAAACATCTACCTTTACATTTCCAACCCTCACTATCAGTCCTGATAACAATTATTCACTATTGTATCATAAGTGACCTATCTGCATTTCATTTCATCAGCCCCGCCTAGACAGACTCTACCTTCCTCCACGCCCTCTGCATCTAGGTTCCTTCTTGAAAGCTTGTAAGCCAGTCACTTCTTGCCTTTGTAGCCCCCCCAATTTGGGTAGCCAATGTCCAAGTTGCCCATCCCTGTCTATTCTGTGTATGGAGGGGGTGGAAATGATCCTCGCTGTAAAGATTTGTTCCCTCTTCTGAGCTACTGCATCCATAGGTGTAGGTCAAGTTCATCAAATTGTATCAGATTACTCTTTTTTTCCCTCTTCTTTCTTCTTAATTTTATTCTTGTTGAATAGAATATATACAGCAAAACATCCAACAGTTTCTACACATCGAGTTCAGTGACACTGATGATCTTCCGAGTCATGCAGCCTCCTGCGTTGAGGATTTCATCCCTTTGTTCACATAAGCTCACTGCTCCCTGAGCTGCCTGTCTAATCTTTTCAGCTGTAGTCAGTGTGATCTCATAGAGCTAGAGCTCAAAAGAGCTTAATGCCCAAGCCATAGAGTCTTCACTAGTTAAGCTGAACTACTTACTGCTTGGTGTAAAGAAGGCTTCCAGATATATATATATATATATATTTTTTTTTTTTTTAATGTTTTATTGTGAATTATGTGATAGTTTACATGGGAGAACATTAGTTTTACATTCACCCTATCGTATATATCGTTTCATTGCCATGGTTACAATCCTCTCCATGCATCATCAACCAACCAAAGGGTACACCCTGCAAGCCTGCCCCACAGTCATCAGCATACAGCCCCTCTCCCTCTCTGGCTCTAAAGTCCCTAGCCGCTCCATCTCCTGGAGATGTTTTTGGTATAAGGCTTAAAGATGATCTCAGGGCAATCGTTTCAGGGTTTCATCCAGTTTCTATGGATCCAGAAAGTCTGGGTTCCATGAGAATTTGAACTTCGGGCACAATGAAATCTTAATAATCTTATGCCTATCTCATGGTATTTTGGAAGCTTTCAATCATTTATCCCCTCAGCAGTGACAGAGACAGCCCTAGCTCTGCCTGCACGGAGTTCCCGTTTCTGTACAATGACAACCAGGTGGGTAGGACTGGCATGGAAGAACTCAAGGGTCTAGGAGAGCCCAGAGGATGCACCTGACCTAGCCAGAGGGACCAGGGAGGGCTTCCTGGAGGAGGGGGCAGCTGAGGCTGGGAGCATAACCAAAGGGGTTCTCCAGGTAAGTGGTAGTAGTTGGGGGAATATGTTTTAAGCAGTGGAAGCAGCAAGTGCAAAGGACCTGAGGCAGGGTTGTGCCTGGGGTGTTCCAGGAACTATAAAGACCAATGTAGCAGGATCAAGAGAACAAAGATATGGAGAAAATTAAGTCAGGGAGGTGAGGAGAGTGGCTCATGAGCTCTTTAGGGTTTCATAGGTCCTATAAGGAGTCCCTGGGGGGTGCAAAGGGTTGAAGTGCTCAACTAATAGCTGCAAGGTTGGCCAGGGGCGCCTTGGAAGACAGACCTGGCAATCTGCTTCCCAAAGGTCACAGCCTTGAATACCCTTTGGAGCAGTAATACTTACTCTGCACATTCGGGGTCATCATGAGTTGCAGTTGACTCAACTGTTGTTGTTAAGTACTGTTGAGTTACTTCCGACTCATAGCGACCCTATAGGGTTTCTGAGGCAGCAGAAAGTCTCATCTTTCTGCCATGGCGTGAGTTGTGGCTCAGTGTATGGAACCATCATGCTCCTCCCAACAACTGGAACTGGAAGCAAATTCGGGTTTTATTCTGATAGATGTGGACATCTACTCGCATTGGTTAGCTAAGAACTGAAATAACGCAACCATTTCCTAAATGGACTTTATAATTAATTACACCCACTCCTCATATGAGTCCTGGTAGGGCGCTGTGGGTTAATGTGCCAGACTGCAAAGCCGTTTGAACTGCAAGGTCGGTGGTTCAAGCTCACCACCTGTTTCTTGGAAACCCTATACAGGGTCGCTATGGGTCGGAACCTACTCGAAGGCACTTAACAACAACAACAACTCCTCAAGTGATTAGCGTCCCAAAATTCAACTCATTATGTGAAAATGAGCATTATGTGTAAATGGAGGATGATTACATCATTCCACAATTGCCAAATTACATCATTCCATAACCACCATTCCTTTGAGAATCATGACCCAGCCAAGCTGACACCTAACCCTAACCATCATAGGCAGTGTTACTCTGTCCTCACATGTTACTGCCAGATGTACGTTGTTATTGTGTAAAGTAGGCAGTAGATACTTTACTGTTGTAAATACAAAACATCTGATAACAAGACAGTCGGTAAGTGAGGACAGTTGTATTAATATTGATGGATCCTTCTTTGTGTCTCTGGCACAGACAGCTACGGCGTGGACAAGAAGCGGAAACGAGGAATGCCCGATGTTCTGGGCGAGCTGAACAGCTCTGGTGCGTCCTCTTTGCCCCTTTCCACACCCACTTGCTGGTGCCTGGAGGGGATGACTGACCCCTCCCCCTGCATCTCCCCAGGCTGGGAGGGAGGGTTGTCAGGGTTAAGGGATCCTTATCTCTGCCTTTCCTCAGACCCCCACTGCATAGAGAGCAAACGACGGAAGAAAAAACCGGCTTTCCTGGACCAGTTCCTGCCCTGCCATGGCTCAGGTGGGTTCCAGCTATGTGCCAGTCCCCTGGAGTGGGCCAGGGGTGAGTCCCAGCTGTTCCGACCCCTGCAGACTCCCGAGAACCCCGTCTTTTGAGGCCAGCGGCTCCACACAGCCAGCAACATAAAACGGAAAGGAGGTGGTGTCCGTTCTCCAGTGCTCCTGTAACAGAAATACCGCAAGCGGACAACCTAACAAACAAAAGCAAAACCCACTGCTGTCCAGCAGAATTGCTCCGAGGCTGTAAATCTTTCCAGGTGCAGATCGCCTCTTCTTTCTAATGTGGAGCAGCTGATGGGTTTGAACTGCTGACTGTGAGGTTATCAGCCCAACCTACTATACCAACAGTGCTCCTTTTTAACTAATAGAAACTTATTTTCTCACAGTTTAGGAGCCCTGGTGGCGCTGTAGGATAAGAACTGGACTGCTGACCGTAAGGTTGGCAGTTCAAACCCATCAGCCTCTTCTCAGAAGAAAGATGTACAGTTTCAGAAACCCTAGTGGCACAATAGTTAAAGTGCTTGGTTGCTAATAGAGAAGGTCGGCAGTTTGAACCCAACAGCCATTCCACAGGAGTAAAGACCTGGTGCTCTGTTTCTGTAAAGATGTAAGTCTTGGAAACCCCGTGGGGCAGTCATACCCTACCACACGGGGTGGCGATGAGTGGAATTGACTTGATAGCAATGTGTTTATAGTTTGATTTAAGCTAGAAATCCAAACTCAAGGCTCTGTTTTAGGGGAGGAAGAGAGTTGTAAGTTCCTGCCATCCGTCTTTGTCATCTGTACGCCACTCAGTCGTTCATTTAGCAAATGTTGTTATCAAGCTATTGCCAGGCTCGGCTCTAGTTGCTGGGAATACATTAGTGTGTAAAGAGGACAAAAATCTCTGCCCCCTTGGAACTTCCATTCTAATGGAGAGATGTGGACAATAAACAAGATAAATAAGTGAACTATGTGAAGTGATTACAAGTTGGGCTGCTAATTTCAAGGTCAGCAGTTTGAAACTACCAGTGGTTCCACCAGAGAAAGATGAGGCTTTCTGCTCCCATAAAGATTTGCAGCCTTGGAAACCCTATACAGGGTCACTATGAGTCGAAACCGACTCCATAGCACATAACCACCACCATCATCAAACAGGTGCAGTGGAGAACTAGAAAGCAGGGAGGGAAAAGGTTAAGGAGTTCTATACTTGTTGCTGTTGTGATCCGCCATTGAGTTGGTCTGACTTGCGGTGGTGGTATATCCAACACAATGAAATACGGACCAGTACGTCACCACCCTCACCATGGCTCTGCTTGAGCCCGTTGTTACGGTTACTGGGTCAATAGTTGTTGTTAAGTGCCATCAAGTCGGTTCCAACTTAAAGCAATCCTGTGTAGGGTTTCCAAGGAGTGGCTGGTGGATTTGAACCTCCAACCTTATGGTTCAAGCCAACCATGTAAGCCAATGTTTATCCTATAGCACCACACCAGGACTCTGTGCCAATGATAATTAATGAGTTCTTTGAATTATCATTTAATCATTGTTTATATTTGAAAGAGACAAACTACGATAATTCTAGTTCCTCATTAATGATATTTTTGGGTTTCTATTCTTTTTCATTTAAGCAGGAAATAGAAACTCCTAGGACAGCAAACATCAGAGACCGTTAGGAAGGAGTTGTTGTTAGGTACCATTGAGTCAGCTCTGACACATATATATGATGTCCTCCTATAACATGTCCAAAGTATGTAAGATGAAGTCTCTCGCCATCTTGCCTTCTAAGGAACATTTTGGCTGTACTTCATCCAAGACAGATTTGTTCATTCTTCTGGAAGTCCATGGTACTTTCAATATTGTTCAGCAGTACCACAAGTCAAATGTGTGTGGCCCTGTAGGATAAGCACCGGACTACAAGTTCGGTTTGAACTGCAAGGTCAGTGGTTCAAAGTCACCAACAGCTCCTCGGAAACCCTACACAAACAAGAAAGATCACTGAGTTGGAACTGACTTGATGGCACTTAGCCACACCATTGTCCAGCTTTATGAGATAACATAAATGTAATCAGATACAGTGCCTCTCTGAAGTAGTTGTTACGTGCCGTCAAGTCAGTTCCAACTCCTAGCAACCCTGTATAGGGTTTCTGAGGAGCAGCTGGTGGGTTTGAACTGCCAACTTTGTGGTTTGCAGTCCAGTGCTGATCCTACATTGCCACACCAGAAGTCTAAGGTTAGTCTTGTCTTAAAAAGAGAGGTTCAACCACAATGACACATATATTTTATCATCTAATTTTAGAACTGGAAACTTTCTCTATTTCTGTTTTTTTGGAGGGAAGGAGGAGGGGGTTTACCCACTATGAGGAATCTGGGTGGTGCTGTGGCTAAAGCACTCAGCTGCTAATAGAAAGATTGGTGGTTTGGACCCACCAGCTACTCCTTGGGAGAAAGATGTGGCAGTCTGCTTCTGTAAAGATTTAATATAGCTTTGCAAACCTTAAAGAGCCGTTCTTTTTCCTTACAGGTTGAGAGAGTCAGAATGGACTCAGCAGTAGTGGGTTTGGTTTGCCCATTACTGGCAATCTCATGTGTGACAGGGTTTAATTGCTCCACAAGAGTTTTCTGGGTTTTGATCTTCATATAATGCGTTACTTGATTTTTTCCTCAGCACAGCTGGGTGGTTTTAAACCATCACGTTTAGGGTAGCAGTTGATGACAAACTGGTTACCATGGTCAGGGAACTACTGGAGGGTAGCTGATAACAGCCTGCTATTGCTGGGGCGGCCAATGGCTCTGTAGGATAAGCACAGCATTTTGAAGGCAGTTCGAGAAAGAGGCGGCTTTCTTCTTTTGTTTACAGCCTTGGAAATTCTGTGTCAGAATCCACTAGATGACACGTAACAAGTGCTGTCTTGTCTCCGCCCTATTTCTGGGAAAAACCTCTCCCAGTCTTGCAGTTTCCACAACTCACCAGCTATTCTGCCTGCCTGCCTCTTTGCTTAAGGAGCTCTGGTAGCGTAGTGGTTATGAATTGGGCTGCAAACCTTAAGGTCAGCAGTTCGAAACTACCAGCTGTTCCGCGGGAGAAAGATGAGAAAAATGAGGTGTTCTGCTCCCGTAAAGATTCACAGCCAGCCACCTTCTTTGCTTAGCGAATGAAAATTATAGTAGTCCCTGCTCATGGTTCTCAGGATTAAGCATTTTTCAAGATGACCACAGTGTGGAAGAATTAGGGCCTGGCAAGACTTCAGTTTGAAGCTTCCCTCTCTCCCCACAGGCCCCTTCCTCCCGCCGTCAGCCCTGCTGCCCGACACGGACTTCTTCCCTGGCCCCGTGTCCTTGCCAGGCCTGGAGCCCCCTGGCGGGCCGGAACTCCTGGACGACAGCTTTGCCTATGACTCCACGGCGCCCACGCTCTTCACCATGCTGGACCTGCTGCCCCCGGCGCCGCCGCTCGCCAGCGCTGTCCCCGGTAGCGGGGGCGCGGGCGCCGCGGTCGGGGAGCCCCCTGGCCCTGAGCTGCTGACGCTGGACTCATACCAGGCCTCGGGCCCTGGGGACGGAGGCACTGCTAGCCTCGTGGGCAGCAACATGTTTCCAAACCAGTACCGCGAGGCGGCCTTCGGGGGCGGCCTTCTGTCTCCCGGACCTGAGGCCACGTAGCCCCCCGGGCTCCGGTAGAGAAGAGGGACTGGGTGGAGGGAAGGGTGGTGGAGGGGCCACCCTGCCGCCCTCCTTCCTCATCCATCTGAATGGGCCGTCTTCCGCACCGTCAAGGAGATCCGGAGAACCGGAGGTCTTATTGAGCCCATTCTACAAATGAGAAAACTGAGTCCGGGGAAGAAAAGGGACATGGCCCCCAGTCACACTGGCTTGTTCAAGCTGCCTCATCCCCTACACGTGGGGGCACCTTCTCCAGCCGAATTGGGAGGTGGGGTGTAGGACCCTAGTTCTCCCATCCCAGGCCTGAAGCTGGGGTCGACTAGGTTGTTTGTTTATTCAGAGTCTTCCAATAAAAAGTGCATTTTTGAGCCTTGTGGGGAATCTCATTTCTCCGCCTAGGAAACGCCTGGGCCCTTCACGTAGCGACGTCACTCGGCTCGTGTCCTCTAGGTCTCCAGCGCCTCCTTCCAAGCCCCGCCCCCAGGCCCCACCTCTGCCTGCGGACTCCGCCCTTCCCATCAAGTACCACCCCTTGCCTTGGCGCGCGCGCATTACGACACCGCTCTGCTCCTCCCTCTTCCCGCGGGCTACCATTTCCGCTTCCGGTGGGGGCAGCGCGCGAGCGCAGCAGTGGGAGGTGGCGACGAGCGGGTGAGTGAAGGCGGTGGGTCCCGGCCCTTTGGTTTCGGACCTGCGTCAGCTGAACGCCGCCCTACCTTTGGCCTCTCCCGGATCCGCTGTGCGGCTCTACTGGGCTCTGACGCTTCTGGGCTCCCACCCTGCGCCCGCTCTGGCCTGACGGGCCTTAGGCCGCGCCCCTGACGGTCTGGAGGCCGAACTCGCGGCGTCCGTCCCGGCAGTGGACCCTGCCACTTGCTACAGGCCCCGCCTCCATGTCAAAAGAACTCGGTCCACACCCTAAGGCAGCGATCGGGTCTGCAGTCCCAGTCCAAAGGCTCGGGTTCCTCCCCAATCCACAAGTCCTATCCCCAAACTCAGTCCACCCTCCCATCTCTTAGATCCTCCTCCTCTTGACTCCCCATTTTTCCTGGACCCGCCCCTCCGTCAGATTCCTGTTTTTGCTCTCAGCTCTGTTTTGGTCGCTCCTTAACGGCACTATCCCCTGCTTCTCCAAACATCCTCCTCTTCCTTTCATGACCTTCACCTGCCCTCTGCCCTCCGCCCCCAACCCCATTCCACTAATTAGCTCGCATAGTCTCCTCTTCCTCACCTGCCTTCATCCTCATCTTCCTGCAACCCATACTCCCACGTAGCACTCCCAGCTCGTACCCTTCCTTTGAATACCAGCCCTAGCGGCACTGGCTCTTCGCCCCGGAGCTTATTTCAACCTCCTGTCCCCAAACCTTCCATCCCTGACTCCAGGGTGTTGAAACGGACTCTCCTTTTCCGGGGCTGCTCCCTCCCAGAATCCCCTTAGGGTTGTACCCGGTTGTCCAAGCCACTGCATCCGAGCTGCCTGTGAGCATCCTGCTTGCTAAACTGATGTGGCTCACTGCCCCTCCTTCTGAAATTGGGAGACACGTTTAGGGTTAGTTCTGTCACCAGCTTGTCCGGTGATTGATTCTGTCCGTCAGAGGTTCCACAGCCCATCTGACATTCTCAGCCCCCTTCCTCCTCTCCCAGATTGAGGCCTCAGGCTTGGCCTCACCACAATGTGGCACGAGGCTCGGAAACATGAGCGAAAGCTTCGGGGGATGATGGTGGACTACAAGAAGCGGGCAGAGCGCCGGCGGGAGTACTATGAAAAGATTGTGAGTAACAAGATGGGGGCAGGGTACGTCCATCTTGGTAAATTGAGAAGAACCCTTCTCCAGTTCACTCCATTGTTTCTTGAATGAGGGCTTCTCCCGGTGTTAGTGTAGTGTGTTGTGTGGTTTGGTGGGGCCCCAGAGTACAGAGCCAGGGATAGGATGGAGGAGGAATGCCTTTGCCACCTCCGGGACATTGCCTGTTAGTTAGCTCCAGAGCCTAGGAGAGGTCAGCTGTCCTTGAGGCTTGATTTGGCATGCCGTCAGAGCGCCATTTATAACAGGGCAGAATCTGACCTGGTATAAATCCCTTGGTGCTTCAATTGCTGTTGGAGAGACCACCAAACTCTGTCCCGTGACTTAGAAGGTTTCTGTGGTCTGGCGCCTGCCAACCTCAAAGCTTCATCCTTGAACAGTTCCACCTGCCTTTTTCCCATCTGTGCCCCCCCCACAGGCCTGTCCTGGCTCCCTCTCACCTGTAAACTCCGGCTTGTCTATGAGACCCTGATTTTCAATGCCACTTGATCACTGAGTTTCAGTTCTGTTAGATGGTCTCCCCATTGTGTGCTTGAGGTCAACAGACTCTTAAAATGCTGCATCACCTCCCCCTGCCAGGCCACGCTGCGCAAGTGGCCAGAGAGATCTTTCTAAAGCTCAAAGCAGACCTTTTCTCTTCCCTGCTCAGAACTCCTCCATAACTCCCTAGCATCCTTGAGAGCAAGCCCAGGCTCCTCACCGCAGCCTGTGAGACGTGACATGGTCTGCCTCAAGCCGCTCTGCCCTCTGCCTCTGTCCTCTGTTCCACTGACGCAGGTGTTCACCGGTCATACCTGATTAACTCCTCCTGCTCACCTGCCAGGCCTCAAGCTGAGGAAGCCTTTCTTCCTCCTGCAGATGCAGTTAAAATCCTGGAAAATCTAATAAATGCCATCCTAGCTCCCTGTCCTTTTCCTCTGTGGAGTATCACACATTTGTCATACCATGCGCACACACACGCCCATGAAGTTATTGGATGGCTTAGGAAGTTACTTCTCCCAGCTCTGTGGGCTGGGGTGTGAGGATTATTTGGTTCCCTTTGCATCCCAGTGTTTGGCCCAGCTAATATGGTTTGAAAGAGAGTAGATCCATAAAGTAATGTTAACAGTTGCCACAGCCTCAGAACAGTCTGCCTCAGGTTGGGCTTCAGAGCCCATCCCCAATGGTGTCAGAATAGCTGTGACTCTAGCTGTGACTCGGCCACAAGGGCAGGGGCTGGCTCTGTTCGGGTCAGCTGAGCGCCCAGGGACAGTCCAGGTGCAGAGGGAGTATCCAGGAATGAACGGTGGGTGTTGGGTGCTGTTGACTGGATTCCAGCTCAGCAGCCACATGTAGCATAGAAGAACTGCCCCGTGGAGTTTTCTAGGCTGTCATTTCTACAGGGGGAGTCCTGGTGCAGCCGTGGTGGTGATTGGCTGCTCACCATAAGGTGGGCAGTTTGAACCCAGCAGCCACTGCGTTGGAGGAAGCTGTGATAGTCTAATTCCAGGATAGCCTAGGGACCCAAGGACTAGGAGTCACAGCTCAGCTCAGCGATCATGCATTCTGTTTGCTAGTTGCTTAATCTTTATGGGAGCAGGTCACTAGGTCTTTCTCCTGTAGAACCTCTGGGTGGGTTTGAACCACCAGCCTTTTGGTTTTCAGCTGCATGCTGAACCGTTGCACTACCAGAGCATATTGTTCAAGACTGAAAGCTGCCTTTTCTTGAGCTCTCTTGGGGCCTGCTACTGTGGTTCATTCACTGTCCTTCCTGCCAGCCTGAGAGGGGGATATAGATGGGCCTGTGTTAGGAACAGAGTGAAAGTTCTTGTGCATTTTTGTGCTAACTGCTGTGCGGAGCTCTCGATCGACTCTGCTCCAGCCTGGGAGCTGGATCCGGTGGAGCCCATTTTGTAAGTGAGCTGACTGAGACTCAGAGTCACAGCCTGTGCTCACATTCTAACCATGACTGTGACCCCTGACCTCTTTACCCAAGCTTTACACTGCAGAAAAGTAAAGGCACTTTGCCCCAAGGGACACAGTCAAAAGGCAAAAAGACCATAGAACTTGGGACTTTAGAGCTTAGGACCCTGGCCTAAGTACCAGTTTCCCACTTGCATACTATGTGACCTTGGGCAAGTGACTGTCTCTGAATCTGCTTGGCTGCCAGTAACAGAGACCTTACACATCTCAGAGGCTTGAACAAGGTACAAGTTTCTTTCTTTTCGGCAAAAGTCCAGAGTCAGACAGCTCTGCTCCTCGACCTAAGCTGCACACAGCTTCTCTCCTAAACATTGTCTCACAGCCTAAGAGAGATGCTCAAGCTCCTGCCATCAAGTCTCTGTCTCATCCTGCAGGGTGGAGGAAGCACAGCTCAAATTGTTACAGGAAGGTTTCTAGACTTTTCCATATGACACTGCCTCTTATATCCACTGGCCAGAAAGAGCTTTATGGTCGCGTACAGCTGCAAGGAAGGCTCAGGTGTCAACTGTAGTGTGAGTGGCCCTGTATCTAGGATGGAAGAATTCATGCATTGAATGGGGGTTGACTTTACCTTGGTCTGTCAGAAGACGGAAACAGTCCACCTTAGAAGAAATACAGCCAGACTGCTCTCTAGAAGCTGGGAAGGCAAGCCTTTGGCTCACTTAACTTGAACATGTCATCAGGAAGGACCACACAATGACCATAACAGTGGCCTGAAACCTTACAGTGATGGTGACTAGGAGGTGACTCGGTGGCAACTAGCAAGGACAGTTGTTCCTGAAGAAGAGGGCATGGATGCTGGTGACAAATGGTGGCTGGCCACGAACTGGTGGAGTGAATACTAGTGTTTCCCTCACAGTGTTGTGGAAGGATTTAGTGAGATTGTGGACGTAGACCCCGCTGCAGAGTGCTGGCCCAGGTAACTGCTGCTCAGCTCAGTACGTGTGAACTGTTCTCACTGAAGCTAGTACTGCGGGACAGAGACGGTGGGGAGCTGGAGTTTGCATCCAGGCACAGAATGGTGTGGGAGAAGGAGACTGGATTTGGATTGGGGAGCCAGGCTTATACCCCCGTGCTTTATTCCCTTCCCCCCAGATAGTGGTGATGACGGCCCTCTCACTGGGTAAGGGGGGGTAAGGGGAGCTTCTGGGGTGCTGTGTGGTGCATGGCTGTACCAGCAGCCATTGTCCCTGCACAGATGTGAGCAGCTTTGAGAGCGGAGCTGTGGAGCCAGTGAGGGGGCCCTGACCAGTGGCTGCTTTGAGGAGGGGCAAACTGCTCCCCCTGTGAGTCTGGGGCCGGGGAGGAGGCAGTGGGGTAAGTGCTGTGAGTTGTGTCCATCCAGAGCTGGGTTTGTCACTCCTGCCCCAGGGCGGCACTTTTAATCAGTGGTTTGGGTAAAAGGAACAGCCCTCCGTGATGTGACATTGAGAAGTGTATTCGCTCGGACGTCCCCTTGTGCAGGCAGTTGTCCTTGGCTTTCCTGGGTCAGCACCACCTGCTCTTGTAGGTTGTCAGTGTCTAGAGTAGGGGGCGGGGCTGTCTCTGTGACTGGACTGTCCCTGCCACATCCCCGGTGTAACCCCTAGCCTGCATGGAGGCGCCTGCCTAACAGTTATCGGTGAGTGAGGGAATGAACATTTGAATACCTTGAATTCGTCTGATCCTCGAGACAGGATAGGCCAGTGGTTGAGAGTGCGTTGTTTAGGATTTAGGACCATCTGGGTTCAAATTTATTATTGGTGTGATCTGAGGTAAGTGGGTCTCACTAGTCTGGGCCTCGTTTTCCTTACCTGCAGCATGCGAGTAAGAAGAGAGTTTCTCTTCTATGGTTGGGGAGTCCTTGGGTGTTTGAAGAGCTCAGCTGCTCAGTGGAAGGTTGGAGGTTTGATTTCATCCAGACGTGCCTCAGAAGAAGGGCCTGCCAATCTCCTGTCAGAAGAGCAGCCGCTGGAACGTCAGTAGAACACAATCTGACTGTGATACCTTTGAGGCTGCTGTGAGTCAGAGTCAGCCTGATAGCACCTAGCTTTCTTGTAGTTGGGAAGTTTGACTGGAACGGACGTGTCCACTGCCTGCACACACACGTTTCAGCCACCTGGGAAATGGCCGCTGTTCTCATTGATCCCTAGTTTTGCCAATGTCAGGAGCTCACTGACGTTTCTAGACTCTCCCAGCAGAGCTGGGTCCTGGGCTCAGGGGCCTTACTCCAACGTTGCTGCTGTTTCCGCCAACACTGTCCCTTCACTTGTCCAACACAAGTGACCCTTGAACCTGGGCTGCCATAGGACCTGGACTCATGGCCCAGAGCAGCCTCGAGGAACATCACAGGCTCTTGGCCTGGGCTGACAGCTGTCATGGGGCTCAGGATGTGCTCTGAAACCAAGACAGGTGCTGAGGGAGGTGGGTGACGGGTAGGGTGGGAAGCCGGACCCCAGGCCTTGAATATTCCTACCCTGTGGGTGATGGCTGCCCCTCACCTGGCCTGGACACGAGCACCGGTCACTGCCGCAACATCCCTCCCAGCTCCTCATAAGGCGCCCTGCTCCTGCTCTCAGCTGTAGGGATGGAGATAAGCCAGGCAGGGCAGAGCTTCAAAACTGGAGCCAAGTGTTTGCATCAGTGTGAGGCCTCCTCTCTTAGCCCTTCTTGGCTGCTGCAGTGAGCAAAACAGACCCTCGGGGATTTACAGTCCAGGGCTGAACGGAGTGCAGCAGTGGTGGGGATGGGTATTCTGGGGGAGACGAAAGCGGAGTGAAGGGATAGAGTGAATCAAGGGAGTAGGGAGCCACTTAGCGAGGCTCACTAGGGCTCCTAGAAGGAGGTATGGGCTGTGAGCAAGCAACTCTACACATAAAAGAACATTTTAGGCCCCAGGGACAGCAAGTCCCAAGGTGCTGAATGGGTGCGGGGTCCTCTGGGAGTATTCCACAAGGGGCTGGCATGAGGCTGATGTGGGTGGGGAGGCACAGGGGACAGACCATAGCAAGCCGGGCCTTCTGGTCTACAACAGCCATCAACTTCCCTCAGCAACTGGCCTCTGAGTAGAGAAGGGGTGGGCTTCGTGTTCTAACCTGTGACAGCAGACCGGGCCTGGGTGGCAGCAGTGCGAGGTCCAGCTGAGGGGACGTGCTGGCTGGCCCTGGAGGTGGGGGTGAGAGATGCGGTGGAGGCTACGGGGCTCAGCTGCCCCTCCTGAGGCTCTTGTCTCTGGAGTGGTGCCTGGTAAGCCGTCCTGGGAGCTGCTGCTGCCGCTGCCCTCAGATGTGACCCTCTTTAAAGTCCTTTTACAGTGACTTCCAACTGTGTTCTCCCCCAGGCTCAGTTCCTGAGGTATGCTCTGTTTGGTGCCTTTTTATTTCTTTAAATAGTTTTGTGGCGCCATGATTTATACACCATACAGTTGGCCCATTTAAAGTGATCAGTGAAGTGAGTGGATTTGAATACATTTATACATTCATAGCGTTTTCAGAGGGAAACCCCAGACCCATCAGTGGGCACGCCCCAATCCCTTCCATCTCCCAGACTCTGCTTCCTATCTTGGAAATAATTCTTGTGAATGGATGTTTCCAGTATGCATGCAGCCTCCAGTGTCTGGCTTCCAGTTTATCCACGTGGGACTTTGTATCTCTTTCTGGCTGAGCGCACTCCTCAGTACACATGTCTGTGTGTACAGTTGATTTTTTTCTCCTATGATGGGCACATGAGTTGTGAATAGTTGTTGCTATGAACACTTGTGTACAAGTATTTGTTTGAGCATTTGGTTTCATTCCTGTGGGATAGATATCTGGGAATGGAATTACTGAATTAGGTGGAATTTAGGAGCCCTAGTGGCACTCCAGAATAAGCACTGGACTACTAACCACGAGGTGTGTGGTTCAGGAGAAAGATGAGACTGTTTGTTCCTTTAAAGATTTATAATCTCAAAAACCCTGTGCAGCTTGCAATTGTTTCATTGTTTCATGAGTGTAAAAGCACTGGTATCCCATGGAAACTATCAGTATGAATCGGAAACAATTCTATGGTAGTGAATTTTTGGAGGTGGCGCTATAAGGGTAAGCACTGGACTTCTAACCACAAAGTTAGCAGTTCAAATCCACCAGCCGTTCCATGGGAGAAAGATGAGGCTGTTTGCTCCCATAAAAATTTTATAGCCTCAGTTGATCAACTGGATGGCAGTGGATTTGTTGAAATTCTGGACTTCCGGGCAGTGCAAATGTTTAAGTGCTGGACTGCTAACCTAAAGGTGGCGGTTTGAACCCATCCAGGGCACCTGGGCCTGATAATCTGCATATGAAAGGGGGTGGCCAGGAGGTGGAATTGACTTAAAGGCATCTCCCAACAACAGCATGGGAATTCTGTCTTGAACTGCTTGAGGAACTTAATTTCCCTAGAAGGGGTCCTAGTGGCGCTGCAGTTAAGCTCTAGGCTGCAAACCCAAAAGTTGGCCATTTGAGTGGTACTGTAGGTTAGTGCGCCCGACTGCAAAGCCGTTTGAACTGCAAGGTTGGCGGTTCAAGCTCACCAGCTGCTCCTCGGAAACCCTACACAGGGTCCCTGTGGGTCGGAACCGATGCAACGGCACATAACAACAGCCACTTTGTGGGAGAAGGATGTTGTCTGCTTCTGTAAAAATGACACCTGTAAAAACCCTAAGGGCAGTTCTGCTCTGTCCCAGGGAGGACTCTGAAGTGACCGTAGCAACAGACTGATTGCTGGGTTTAATTTCCCAGCCTCCTCCACAGCTCCTGTCATTGACATTTTGGTTAGCACCTCTCCATGCAGATGTGGTTTTGATTTGCATGGCCCGATAGCTGATGTTATTGGCTGTCTTGCTTGTGCTCATTCGGCCTTGCTATTTGGCCTGGAGTCGGGTGGGTGGGGTGCCATCACTAGGAGTGAGGTGTGATGGGCACAAGGTTGGAGTAGGCGTCACAGTGTCTTGACACCACTGTGGAGGCAGCGATTCCCCTGTCCCAAGAGGCCAGGTGGCCCCACTAGCATGGTTCTACTTGAAAGGTATGTGCAGGTTGGTTTAGCTCCTTGTGGTGGTCCTCCTTGACCTAAGAGGTGGGCGTGCTGCCGAGTTTGGCTGTGAGAGCGTGGTGTGTGGTGCCTGTGGATGGTGACCCCTGTCCTGTCTGTCTTTCTCTGCAGAAGAAGGACCCAGCCCAGTTCCTGCAGGTGCACGGGCGAGCCTGCAAGGTGCACCTGGATTCTGCGGTTGCCCTGGCTGCTGAGAGCCCTGTTAACATGTAAGACGGGTCTCAAGAGGGAGCAGAGACCCTGGGTGTCTGGGCAGATTCGGGGGACTCTGGCAGGGCAAGCTTGGCTTGCTTGTGAAGGGAACCATCCCAGAGGGGCGAGTCTAGGATGTGAGGAAGGGGTCTGGGATGGTCCTCCTGTGCTGTTTGGAGACCAGGCACACCAAAGCAAGGAGCGGGATACTGTCTTGGGGAACTGGGACTCAGCAAGTGCTCCCTGGGACGTGGTGGGAGTTCTTCACTGTTGCTGACTCTAAGAAACAGGGCTCCGGTATTCCTTGTTGGCCAAAGTTGGCTGGCCCACTCCCAGTGTTAGGAGCCGGACTGTGGGCTCAGGGCTGATGGTGTCAGGGACAGTCAGAGGGATCTGAGTAGCTGTGCATGGGAACAGCTGCTCTGTGACCTGGGGGCTGTGGGATACTAAAACAGCTCATTGTGTCTCTGCCTCAGGATGCCCTGGCAGGGGGACACCAACAATATGATTGACCGCTTTGATGTCCGTGCCCATCTGGACCACATTCCTGACTATACGCCCCCGCTGCTCACCACCATGTAAGCTCTCGCTGAAGGCCCAGCTCGACTCCTCTCTTCAGGAGCCTGAGCCAGGCCTCAAGTCACTTCTGCGGGCTTGGGGTGGGGTCTCCCCACACCCTCTGACCTCGTGGTCTTGGCCTTCCCAAAGCTCCCCAGAGCAGGAGTCAGACGAGCGGAAATGTAACTACGAGCGTTACCGTGGCCTGGTGCAGAACGACTTTGCCGGCAGTGAGTGAAGGGGAAGGAATGGGGCTAGGGGGGCCGTGGGTGGGCTTAGTCTAGAAGGACTTAAGACAGTTTTGAGGAGACAGTTTGATCCAGTTGCGTTGTGCTCAGTCCTCATCTCCCTGACAGGAGACGTCTGCTGAATTCAGTGCTGCTTCTAAGTCCTGAAGTCCACCCTCTGCCCAGTCCATCCAACTCACCCCCTAGACAGAAAAGCTGATGCCCCGAGAGGGAGGGGATGCACCCAACTCTCAGAGTATCTGGGCTTGTGTCTGCAGGGAGATCACCCCAAACCACAGTGGGACAGATGGTGAAGCAAGAGCAGATCTTGACTTGTGGAGATAAAGACCTTTCTAACAGTGATCCCAGGGGAGGGCACAGTGTCTCTAGTCACCTGGAGCAATAGGAAGAAAGTCAGGAACGAGAGGAGTGTATGAATGTTGCCTCATTGGCTCCTTTGTCTTGAGACCAAAAGAACTAGACAGTGCCTGACTGCTGCTAGTAGATAGCTTGATATAAGAATCTGTCAAACCTGGCTCAAAGGGGAAAACATAGGACAAAATTTCAAATTCTCATGGAATCCAGAAATTCTGGAGCCATGAAGATTGGATGAACCCCCAAAACTCTTGCCCTGAGATAGTTCTTAAACTGAAAATTATCCCCTGAAACCTTCATAAAATCAAACAATAGTTTAGCTTACCTCCTAAAGCCTATCTGACGCGCTAGCATTGTGCCTTTTTAAAAACTATTTGAGATCAAAGTGACACCAACAATTGGAAGGATTAGACGGAAACATCCAGGACAGTGTGTTTATGGTGGGAGGGAGGAACGACTCAGAAAAGGAGGGAATGGTTACCACACCTCAAAGACTGTGACCCGCATCGCTAATGAGACTGTTGAATTTGTGTGTTCGCTGTGCATAAGAAGCCTTGGTTTGTGTAGTGTTCAAATGTGCGGCTGCAAACCCAGAGGTCGGCAGTTGGAATCCACCAATTGCTCCGTGCAAGAAGATGATGAGGCGGCAGCAGCTTCCGTAGATCCGCAGCGTTGGCCATCCCTCAGGCAGCACTGCTCTGTCTTAGATGGTTGCTAAGTGTCGGTTGACCTGGTGGCAATAAGTTGCCTGCTTGTTTGTCTTTGCTGCATTGGTTTTCAGCCACATAAATTATAAAACTTCAAAAAAGAAAGAAAAGCAGAGGCTGGGAAGCTAAGTCATGTGTCCAAGGCCACAGGGCTCTACTGCATGTCCTTGTGTCCTGTGAGGACACCATCTGTCATTCTCTGGAGTCTGTGACTCTGAGACCCTGGCTGACCCTGGTGCTCTTGTCTCCTAGTCTCCGAGGAACAGTGTCTGTACCAGATCTATATTGATGAGCTGTATGGCGGCCTCCAGAGACCCAGTGAAGACGAGAAGAAGAAGTGAGTTGGGGTTGGCAGTGTGAGCCCAGCAGGCCAACCTGCCCCTGGTGTCTCCCAGGGCTGGGCCAGTGTGAGCACACAGTAGGTGCTCAGTGAACACAGGAAGGCCAAGGGTCTGCAGAACCTGGTTCCTCTCACTCTCAGCTTGCAGTGCTGTGGGGGGCGGGAGGGCAGCTCTGAGACAGGTCCTGGTTTGTGCTCCTCTGTCTGATCGTGAATGTGGCCAGAGGTTGAGTTTGTCAGGCACCTGTCTTGGGGTCTGGGATTTAACTCTGAGTCACATCCCTTGAGGAGTGACTGGGGACTTCAGGACCTTGGCCTGGAGCAGCCTCTGGGGATCCTGTGACCTGAGCAGGCCCTTCCTACTGCTCTCAGAGCTTCCTCCTGGGTTACCCGAGGCCCTTACTGCCTCCTTCTCTGATGATTGTTTGTAACACCTAACTGGTCAGCTGCCAGCTCCAGGCCCTGAACTGGGAAGCCTCAGAAATGTTGAGTAAATGAGTTCACGGCAGGCAGACCTTCACCCCCTGCTCTTCTGGACAGTGTCGGGGCATGTCTGATGTAATTCCTAACTTTGCCCTCAGTGGGCAAGACAGACCCGTCCCCTGAGAGTTGTGGCAACCCACCTTAGTGGGGGTCAAGGAGGACAAGGGGGGAGCTGGTGCATAATGGAACAGAAGGTTCCAGAGTTAGGGAAGAGTGCAAGGGCCTGTAGGCGTGAGTGCTCCCGGTGTCTGGAATTGCTGAGCCTGGCGTGCTGGGATGTTCAGGCGCTCTGACTGGCTTTCTGTCCCAGGCTGGCGGAGAAGAAGGCTTCCATTGGCTACACCTATGAGGACAGTACTGTGGCTGAGGTGGAGAAGGCGGCTGAGAAGCCAGAGGAGGAGGACTCACCAACAGAGGAGGAGAGCAACTCGGACGAAGATGAGGTCATCCCCGACATCGGTGGGGTCCCCTCTCTGCCCTCCCCACCCCCAGTCCCTGGGCATCGTTTCTGTGTCTAGTCCCTCACCCTCGTGGGGCACCCTGAGATTACAAGCCCTGTCTTCCTCCCTACTCCAGGGCACCAGTCCCTGCTGCCCGCTCCTGCTCCCCCGCCTTCGCTTCTGTCTCTTGCTCACTCCTCTCTCTTTTCCTCGCCCAGGTTCGGCAGGCTGTTCTCATGGGCTTGGCCATCTCTGTCCCCGTGCTTTCTTTCTCCCTTAGAATACAAGTGGCTGTCGTGTCTGCAGCCACCCTTCAGCCCCAGCCTCGTATCTCTCGCCCTCTGCACTCTGTTGCCCCCTCCTCAATGCCTGTCCAGTGTCTGTCTCCAGCCTCCCCTCGCCTACTCGCTGGCAGAGTCTGAGCTCTAGATCCGTCTGTCTGCCCATCTCGCCTCCACTTAACTGTACTCCCAGGCCCTGTCCACGCCTGCTGAGTCTTCATCTGCTCCCTCCCCCCAAGTCACACATTTCTCTCCTCTATCCAACCTCCCCAAATGTGCTCCCCTCTGGCCCCAAGCCGGCCTGGGGCCCCTCTGAAGAGACCTGAAGTGTGGTGGGTGCTCCTGACCCCCCTCCCTGCCCCGGAGCTGCCACCTCTGACAGCCCTTCTCTTGGTGCAGACGTGGAGGTGGACGTGGACGAACTGAACCAGGAGCAGGTGGCAGATCTCAACAAGCAGGCGACCACCTATGGCATGGCCGACGGCGACTTTGTCAGGTGAGGACCTGCCCGTCTAGCCTCTTCTGCCACTGTGTCCCCCTGAGCACTGAAGTGCCTGTTGTGCGCCCAGGACCCCACACCACCTAAGCAGAAACCCAGGCTGCTTGGGTCTGTTCCCTGCTTCTGGGTTCCTGGGCCTGGTGGACAGCGCCCCCTGGTGGAGAGGCTTCGCTCACCATCTCCCACATTCTGCCTCACCCCTGGGCTCTTGAGAGCTCACAGAAGGGGTCCTAGTTGACAGAGCTGTAAGCACCCCTCAGCACAGGGTTACCCATGCACCCTGCATTCAGGAAAAGCCAGCCGTGTCCTCACCACAGCCCAGGAGGCCTGGCCTGGCCAATCGCTCTCCCTCCTGACCAAATACTCTGCCCCAGCCCAGCCTTTATGGCCCCCTGCAGGCCCCTCTGCCTGTCCCCAGCACAAGATACTCTTCAGAGGTCAGTTCCTGTCACTGCCCTGTGTGCAGCAGCCCCTGCCTGCCCTAGCACTTCTGTCCTGTCCATCTAGCTCTCCCCAGATGGGGTTCTTGCTGTCTAAGAGGCTGTGACGTTGGTCACTAGAGCCCTTAGGGAGGAAGACTTTTGTCTTTTGTTCCAATGCTGAGCCCCCAACACCGCAGAGCACCTGGCATATGCAGTAGGTGCTGATAGATTATTGAAGACTGGGAGATCCCAGGATGGTAGGCCTCTCCCCCACTGTGACCTCCCCACCCCCCAGGATGCTCCGGAAAGACAAGGAGGAGGCCGAGGCCATCAAGCACGCCAAGGCCCTGGAGGAGGAGAAGGCCATGTACTCGGTGAGGGCAGGGCCTTTGGGTGGAGAGCAGGGGTGTTGAGGGAGAGGCACACCCTCACTTCCTGGTTTCCCCTTCCCCAGGGCCGTCGTTCCCGGCGCCAGCGGAGGGAGTTCCGGGAGAAGCGATTGAGGGGCCGCAAGATTAGCCCACCCAGGTAGGGATGCGTCCCTCTGCCTGCCCTGCCAGCGTCAGTTAGGGGAGACTCTGAGGAACCTGGGGGTGAAGGCTCAGGGCTGGGAAGACTTTGGAGGTGGCCTTGCATCTCAAAGGAGAGGGACTTCTGGTGAGGTAATGGATGTCCTAGCAGAGGGTTCAAGGTGGGCACACTCAGAGGAGTGGCTGGTGTAGGACTGGTGGCAGGATTGGCTGGGAGAGTTGGAGCCTTAGCCCTGCATTCCCTTGATGCTATCGAGGGCTGGCTTCCCCTGCTTTGGGAAACATCACTGTGACCTGCCCGGAAGTCTCCACTTGGAGGTCTTGGGACAGGTTTGGATGAGTTAATAGGGACAGTGGCTAGCCCGCCCTGGCCCCTGACACTTCTCCCTTTTCTAGGGGGCCTTTGAGGGCTGTTGGGAGGCTTTGGTTATAGGATGTGAGTGTGGTTTGCTGCAGCGTTGGCTGTCCCTGCCATGGTTGTCCCGGGGAGGTGCACAGTAGGATAGTCTGTGAGGACACAGGCGCTGGGGTCTGTTGCCTGCGCTGGATCCCACTCCTTCAGTTACGAGCCGTGTGACCTGGGCAAGTGACTGCCCTTTCCAGACCTCACTTTTCTCAGCTGTAAAGGGTCAATGTTTGTAATTCTGAGAGTTGTCACAAAGAAGAAGTGTTTAGGTAGCTAATCTGGTGTAACCCTCATCATCATCATCTTTACGAAGCCAGGGCCCCAGTTAGCCTAACTGGATGTGTGGGGAAGGAGGAGCAGCCCTTCGTTTGAGGTCAAGAAGCCAGACAGGACCAAGGCGGCTGTAGCCCTTGTTTGCTATTTAGAGGGGGGTGGTCTAGGGCATTGTTTACCATGTGCCTGGACTGGGCCCTAGACTGGGGAATGGACCCAATTCCATGTCCACTAAGAACTCAAGTCCCCACTTGTCCCCACCCTGTTCTCTCCATAGCTATGCCCGTCGAGACAGCCCCACCTATGACCCCTATAAACGGTGAGTCCTGGGGACTTGGAAGTTGGGATTTATAAGTGGGGAGAGGGACAGCGGTCCACCTATCCGTAGCCTGGGAGTTGTGTTCTGAGCTCTCTGAGCACTTGCTGTCAGCTTGGGGTCTGAGTCAGTTTTGTTTTCCAGATTGTTAGACTAATTGTCTGGTAGTGTTTCTTTTTTTTTTCAATGTGAACCTTTGTTCCTTTCTTTTCCTGATGTTACTGGTAAACATGGGTGGCTACTGTGGTTTAGAAATCAATCCCAGAAACTAAAGCACTGCCATCACGACCCCATAGGTAAGGACTTCTGCGCCTATAAATCTTTATGGGAGCAGGGAACAGCCAGCCTCAGCTTTCTCCCAAGGAGTGGCTAGTGGGTTTGAACCACTGACCTTAGGATTAGCAGCCCATACTTCACCCATTACATGATCAGGGCTCTTAAGGCTCCTGAAATCTCTCTTTCTAGGAAAAAAACAAACAAAACAGAAATGAGAGCCTAGGATTGCGTAAGTCTGGAGGTGGGTGGGTGGGGGTAAGGGCAGGGACTTAGATGGCAGAGCAGACAAACCTCAGGCTGACCCTAACTCCCCTCATCCACTGGAACTCTGTAACCGTTGAATGGGCTGCAGCTTGAGGACCAGATTCTCTCTCTCGAGAGCATCTGCCCTAGGGGGTAGTTGTGTGGACAGTTGTAGTAAAGCACGTGAACTTCAGGAAAATGTCTAGTACAGATACGAACTATTAGGAATAGCAAGTCTTTTTGGTTTTGTTTTTTTCTTAAACCAAACACAGCGACTTTATTAACACAGGGCAGTTCTTCATGGGGTGGCAGGAAGTGGCTTTGGGCCCCTGCTTGACCACGAGGACAGAGTCCCCAGGCAGGGACATCTTGGAGATGTAGCAGTTCTTGTTGATGGGTTTGGACTTCTTGCCCTTGTCACTCTAGGGGACCTCAGTCCACATCTCTGTCATTCTCCAACACCATGTGGCAGCGCCTGTCAAAAGGCTTCATACACTTGGGTGGTGGTCTTGACCTACTGCGTGAGCTCCGACTGTGTGAGCTCCGAGAGGGGGCTCCGTGTTAAACTCCGCCTCCCCCTGCTGCTGCACCTCCTCTGGGGTCAGCTCACTCTTGGGCAAGTTGAGGAGGTTCATGAGGTTCATGGTGCTCACAGCGGTCTCGTGGCACTCCCGTTTCCTCCGCGTTGCTTCTGCCTCTCTTTTTGTTTTTTATAAAAGTGAAATTACACCACCCTTAAACTTGCAGAAAGGAGCCCTGTTGGCATAGTGGATTAAGTCTTGGGCTGCTCATGCCAAGGTTGGCGGTTCAAACCCACCAGCTACTCTGAGAGAAAAGGATGAGGCTATCTGTTTCCCTAAAGATTTTCTCTGTCCTACAAGGTCACTCTGAGTCGGAATGGATTCCATGGCAGTGGCTTTGTGTTTGTGTTTGTGTGTGGTCGTATCTCAGAAGTTGTTGTTTTGCCTCACATGAAACTCTGTTGGGAATCTCTGGGTGGTGTAAATGGATAGTGCACCACTAACTGGAAGATCTGCAGTTCAAAGCCACCCAGAGGCACCTCAGAAGAAAGGCCTGGTGAAAAACTAAGTTGTTGAAAACCCCCTGGAGCACAGTTCTACACTGACACACCTGGGGTTGCCATGGATCAGAGTGGACCTTGTGGCCATCGGTTACTGGTTTGACATAGCAACTGACTTGCTGTGTTAACACTTCTGTGAAGTTAATGCCCTTTTCATGCCGCTTGGTTTCCTGCCGGCTTTTGAAAAGCCCGACTTCAGGAGCTAGGTTCATGAGTGAAGCTGGTCTTGTGACGCCCTTTTGGGTGCAGAGTCCCATGTGGTTCCTAGTAGGCAGCTCTGGGGAGCCCAGTGAGTGAGTTCCGTGTCCCCTGCTCTGTAGGTCGCCCTCCGAATCCAGCTCAGAGTCCCGTTCCCGCTCCCACTCTCCGACCCCAGGCCGGGAGGAGAAGATCACATTCATTACGAGCTTCGGGGGCAGCGATGAGGAGGCGGCTGCGGCTGCGGCTGCAGCTGCTGCATCAGGGACTGCAGCAGGGAAGCCCCCCGCGCCCCCCCAGCCCGGCGGCCCCGCACCAGGGCGTAATGCCAGCGCCCGGTCGGTAACGCTCAGGCTACCCGCCCTATTCCCCCCAGCCACCGTGGGGGGGACCCAGGGCAGTGGGGGGCAGAGGCCCAGAGCCGTGCTGACTGCCCCTCCGTGCCACCTGCAGCCGCCGCTCCTCCTCTTCCTCCTCCTCGTCCTCCGCCTCAAGGACCTCCAGCTCTCGCTCCAGTTCCCGCTCCAGCTCCCGCTCCCGACGCGGTGGCTACTACCGCTCCGGCCGCCATGCCCGATCCCGCTCCCGCTCCCGATCCCGCCGCTATTCCCGCTCCCACAGCCGTGGTCGGCGCCACTCCGGAGGGGGCTCCCGTGATGGACGCCGCTACTCCCGCTCGCCTGCCCGGCGAGGGGCTTACGGGCCCCGGAGAAGGAGCAGGTGGGTGTGTGTGTGTGGTGGGTCTGGCATCAGGGAACCCTGGCTGCCATGCGCTTTGTGCGCTGTGTTTGTGGGGTAGTCTCAGCCAGTGCTCCGCAAAAGCTTCTGGTGTTGCCTGGAACTCACAGCTAGGGGAGAGGCTGAGTGGCTCTTCTTGGCAGTGATGCTTCTATTGTCGGGGTTCCTGGTGTGGAGCTCCGTAGTGTCTAGTGAGAGACAGAACCTGGGCTGGGGACAGTCAGCCGGGACGTCCCTGTGAGGGTGAGAGCAGGACAGCCAGGTAGCCCTTCGTGGGCAGGCAGGAAGGATGTGTAGGGCCTCAGCGGTCCTTCCTGCCCTTATTGGGTCAAGGGCTCCAGGACAACTCCCAGGCTGGGTGGGGCCCAGGGACCACGGGGCAGACAGGCCAGTCCTACTGCTGCCTGTGCTCAGTGTCCATGTTACTGTGGCCACGACCTCTGCAGCATCAGCCTCCTGGGGAGGTGGGGCTGGCAGGAAAAGTGGACGGGCAGGCGCACCAGGTGACAATCCCAGTATCACCCAGCATCCCCCTCACTCCAGGGAGATGGGAAGTCGGGGTGAGGGCAGCTCTTTGTTTTCACAATTTCAGCAGCAAACCTTCATTCTGACGAAGGTTAAGAGAGCCACACAGGACCCGAGGGGCTCTGGACTTGGTTTCCAGGTCCTGTCACTGTAGCCAGACCCAGGGTGAGGCAGGAGAGGCAGGGGGACATGGGGAACCTGCCAGGGTCCTGAAAGTGGGGCACACGGGCACAGTCTCATGGTTCTGTGAAGGAGGCTCGGGCAGAAGGGGTGGGCAAGGAGAGACATGTGAGGGTTGGGACCCTGGACCCTAGGTGAGGTAAGGGTCCACAAGGTCCCCAGTGCCCATCCTGTGCCAGGAGCTGGGCACAGTGTGTAGAGGGGGCAGAGCATCTGAGTGAGTAGTGTGCTTCCAGAGAAGCTGGCAGGTGAGTGAGTTGTGAGAGGTGCAGTGGGCTCAGTGAGAAGCCTAAAGAAAGTAGCAGGAAAGGTGGCGGGGGAAGGGTGCAGATGGGGTGCCCCCGTTCCCCCCCCCCAGCCTCACAGCCCTGCCCTGCCCCACCATAATCCCAGGAGCCGATCCCGTTCCGGGGACCGCTACAGACGGGGTGCCCGGGGCCCGCGGCACCATAGCAGTAGCCGGAGCCGCAGCAGCTGGTCCCTTAGCCCATCCCGCAGCCGCAGCCTGACCCGCAGCCGCAGCCGCAGCCAGAGTCACTCACCATCGCCCCTGAGGGAGAAGCTGGCCAGGCCGGCGGCATCCCCTGCCGTGGGCGAGAAGCTGAAAAAGTGAGTGGGCGGGACCCTGGGCTTGGCCCTAGGAGGTCTGAAGAGAAGTGGTCCTTCTGTGGCGTGTCTTAGGAGACACGACCCTGTCCTGGGGCCTTAGTGTACATCGCCCTGCTTTGGGGATCTGAGGAACACATGGCCCTAACTTTGAGTGTCTGAGGAGAGACAGCCCTGCCCTAGGGGACTGGAGGGGCACAGCCCTGCCCTGGAGGGAACTGAGGATACAGACTTGTCTTGGAAGGGGGCTCAGGAAGAGCCCTGTGGTAGCTCTGTGGGTCCATGTGTGTTCTAGCTGAGCCAGTGCTCAGACTGTGTAGAGTTAGAGGTGGCAGCTGTCCCCTCCTCCTGACTGTGCCCTCCGCTCCTCATGCCCCTCAGGACCGAGCCTGCCGCTGGTAAAGAGACAGGAGCTGCCAAAGTCAGTAAGAATTTGGAACTCGCCCGTCTAACTCCCGTCAGCAGCAGTGCCCGAGAGCTGGGCCTGGTGGGCCTGCAGGGGGCCTGGGAGGGCCGGGAGATCCAGCCCCGGGGGTGGAGGGGCTGGCGGGGTCTGCCCCACAAGAGTCCTGTCTCCTCTTCTGATCATATGAGTGTCCCAGACCCCTCAAGGCAGGTGTCCAGAGCCTGCCCCTCCTCCTACTGCCCCCACAAGTCCCAGGCTCTTGGCTGAGGTGGGTTCTGGGAGCTCCAGGGAACCCACCCTGCTCCATCTCTTCTCCCTTCCCCAGCCCAAGCTGACACCACAGGAGAAGCTGAAGCTGCGGATGCAGAAAGCCCTGAACAGGCAGTGTGCGTCCCCAACCTGCCCTGCTGGCCCTCCCCGTTTCTCTTCCCCTGGCCTGGGGGGGCCCAGCCCTTTCCTCAGGCCAAGGCTAGATGAGGAGGAACCCCCTCTGCCCAGACTTCTCGCAGCCTTTTCGAGTACCCCCGGCTTAGTGTCCTCATCTGGGTGGGGCTCTGGAGGGCGCTGCTCAACCATCGTGTCCTTCCCTCCACCCGCAGTCAAGGCGGATAAGAAGGCGGCTCAGGAGAAGATGATCCAGCAGGAGCATGAGCGGCAGGTAGGGGTCTGGCCTTACGGGGGGCATGGAGGTGCCTGGCCAGGCCAGGTCTCACAGCTATCTCTGCCACAGGAGCGGGAGGACGAGCTACGTGCCATGGCCCGCAAGATCCGTATGAAGTAAGAAGTCCCACTCCTCTGCTTGTCCACCTCCTCACTGGAGTCCAGCCCTGGCCCTCTTTGTTGTTGTTAAGTCGGTTCCAACCCATAGCGGCCCTGTATAGGGTTTCTGAAGAGCTGCTGGTGAGCTTGAACCATGCAGCTTGTGTTTCAAACCAATTAGGCGGTCCAGTTCATTAACCCACAGCGCCACACACCAGGACTCCTGGCTCTCTTTGGGCCCATAAAAGCCCGGGTTCATGCTGGGGTCACCAGCCACCTCTCTCTCCAGCCCCCCCCCCCGCTTAGACTCCACAGGCGGTGGGTGCAGTTACTATAACCAGCAGACAGCCTGGCCATGTGCATCTGGAAGGCCAGAGTGGAAAACCCTGTGGGGCAGGTCTGCTCTGCACATGTGTCCGTACCTAACAACAGTGCCAACTTGGTTCCAGATAGCTCAGCCCACCCACTTCCCCCAGCCACCCACCCAACCCAAGCTCCTGCCCAGATGCCCCCTCCCACTGAGACGCCATGCAGCATCCTGCTTCAGGATTCTTGATGATGCTCAGCTGGTTTACCTGCTGGTAGTGTCTGGTCGTGTGTTCCTGCTCGCTCGAGCCTGAGCACTTGGGGTTCATATGTAGCTGGCGCTCATCAGGTGTTGGTTGAGAGTGAAGGGGCCCTGTGGAGGTTCTGTCCTTTGATGAGGGAGACCAGGCGCCTCTCTTCCCTCCTGCCTCCCCCCCAACCCCACAGCCTCTTTACCGCAGCCCACCTCCTCTGAAATTGCCCTGATGCTCTGACAACCTGGGGCTTTAAGCCCATAAGGCAGTGCCACAAGGCTGGTTAATGGGCCAGGAACTTGGCCATTTTGGGCTCCATACCAGAGGTCACAGGGGCCAGGGATGCGTGGAGGGTTGTTTGCTGTTAGGTCTGGTACTGTCACTAAGGTTGGCTTCTCTGACTGCATGCTAGGTACCCGGGCTGAGGTGGTTGGGGAGGCGGCATGTTCAGGCTTATCCAGCCTCTCCACAGGCTCACTGCCCTTGGAGCCTGGGTCACTTGTCCAACTGGGGAGGGGCTCAAAGTCCAGGTGTGGAGGTGGCACCTACTAAATGGAGCTCGTGCATTCTGATGAGGGGTGAGATGTGGTGGGCAGGACCTTGGGCTTGAGCTGGGACCACAGTGATGGAATCCGCCCCCCATCTCATCCGTGGGGTCAGATCCTGACTCTTCCCGTCTCACCCCTCAGCATCAGTGTGGTGCCCCCGGCCCTTTTCCAGGGGGCTACACTTCACCCCTTGGCTGCCTTTCCCTGTCCCCCCTGCAGGGAGCGAGAGCGTCGGGAGAAGGAGAGAGAAGAGTGGGAACGCCAGTACAGCCGACAGAGCCGCTCACCGTCCCCATCCCCCCGCTACAGTGAGTGTCCTCCCTACACAGGAATGCCCTTTCCCACAGTGGTCTTGTAGTGTTTCAGTTAGACTGGTGGGGGCTGGGCTGGGGGCCAGGGGCAGCTTTGTCTTCATCTTCCTTTCCTCCCCAGGTCGGGAATACAGCTCCTCCCGCAGGTAAGGGAAAGGGCTAGCAGGCTTGGGCTTTGGTGGGAGGGCCCAGCCCTGATCCTCAGAATTGTGGCCCAAGCCTGTTGAGGGTTGGGGGGCAGCCGGCTCCTTGCTTCCCTGCCCCCCTCACAAGGTTACTCCCCATGCTCTCTTCTCCAGGCGCTCGAGATCCCGTTCCCGAAGCCCCCATTACCGCCACTAAGCAGAGGACTGAGGGGTGTGGGGATCTTGGACAGTGGGGGGCAGTGGTCCAGGTTCAATGCTACTGGTTTTCTCTGATGGAATAAAGTGAATGTTATTTAATTCTCTTCATTTGGCCTTGGTGTGATGTTTGGTGGGCACCGGGCAGTTGTGGGCCTGGTGTCTGTGTGGGTTGGTGCTGAGAACTGCTGTGTGGGCCAGAGCTCAAGTCTCAACTAGGCCCCATGGGGCTGTGCAAGGGCCCAGACCTGCCTGCAGGTGTGGACAGAGGTGCCAGCCAGCACCCAGCACAGAGGCTGGGCAGGGACTCTTGGCCCAGGGGCCTCTGGGGACAGGTCCAGGCTGCTCCCCGCCCTCGCCTCGGCCCCTGCCCTGGCCTCACCCACATGGGGAACCGGGAGCACGGCTTTCCGTGCCAGTCCTGCTCTGCCCCAGGCACTGGGGGCTGGCCTTTCCCCTCACCCCAAACCGGTCTGTCCAGCCGTCCACCCAAAAGGGGAGCCTCCCACCACACCCCACCCCTGACACCCCAAGAAGAGTTGCAGTCCACACGAGGGTGAGGGGAGGGGAGGCTTTATTGGAAGCAGAGGGAAGACAGGCCAACAGTGGAATGAGCCCAGGGACAGCCAGGTGCTCAGGTGCCACCTCCCGCCTCAGGGTGCTTCTGCCGCAGGTGCTTGTCCAGGGTGGCACGCAGGCCAAAGGGCACGCAGCAGTGGGGGCACTGGAAGCTGGTGCCGCCGGGCCCTAGGCCGTGCATGCGGCGGTGCCGGTTGAGCTTGCTGCTCTGGGCACAGGCGTAGGGGCAGAACTCACAGGCGTAGGGCCGCTCGCCCGTGTGGGAGCGCCGGTGCACCGTCAGGTTGCTGCTGTTGGTGAAATGCTTCCCGCAGAACTCACAGCTGCCCCCTGGCCCGCGGCTCTTGCCCACAGGCTTTGGCGTCGACTTGGGCACAGACTTCGGGCAGTTTGCAGGGTCAGCTCTCTGTTTGACGACGTCCTCACTAGGACCAGCCTGAGCCCCACCTCCTGGAGCCCCAGGTTCTTGGATACCAGCAGTGGCAGCAGCCCCGCCCCCTTCCCCCTGGTGGCACTGGAGGGTGCTGGCTGGGGCAGCAGCAAGGGCGGCTGGCTCAGGGGGTGCAGCTGAGGCCTGCTCCTGACCAGCATCAGCGGTGCAGGGGCTCGAGGGCTGCAGCTGCCGGTGGGTCTTCTTGTGACGGTTGAGCTTGCTGCTCTGGGCGCAAGCGTAGGAACACTGGTCACAGGCATAGGGTCGCTCGCCTGTGTGGGAACGCATGTGTACTTTGAGGTTGCTGAAAGAGCTGAGGGTCTTCTTGCACACGGTGCAGGTTGGGCTCCGACGGCCACTTGTGCGGGGACCTCTGGTTTCCACTTCCGGCCCCACTACTGCGGACACGGCTGCAGCCACCTCGGCCAGGCCCAGCAGTGGTGCCTCGGGGGCCTCAGATTCCGTCTGGTAGATGGACAGGCCATGGTCCCACTGGGCATGACGGAGCAACTTCCAGGCACGCGTGAACTGTCTGCCACAGCGGAGGCAGCTCAAAGCTTTCAGGTCCTCATGTTCTGGAGAAGAGAAAAGGGCGAGGCAGTTAGTTAGTACCAGAACAGCAGGCCGGCGCTGGACACCTATGGACAAAGCCCCATTCGGGGGGTCAAGGGCCCAGCTGTCCCCAAACAGACAAACTTTCTGCTCTGCTGAAACGAGCAGTCAAGGGGTGGGCAGAAAAGTAAACTGTGGAGTGGGTGCCAAGGTGCTCAGAGAGGGTCCTAGTGTCGGGTATTTAAAAATCCTCGAGAAAAGATTTCAACCAGCCAGGGAGGCCTGGATGATGAGGTGGCCAAACCCAGTAGGTGCTTCTTTTTAATTAGGCACATGGCCACCCCTTCAACACAGGACGGAAGACTTCCATTGTCTGGATGGGCAAACTGAAGCATGTCCCCAAGGACACACAGCTGGTTTAAGGCTGGGACTGGGATTTCAATGCTGAGACATGGGATATAGGGGGCAGATATTTCAAAACAGATGATTGGTTTAAATCACGTGTGCCAAGGAGTGCTTTCCGACTCATAGCTGAGTGTTTAACCATTGCACGCTTAGCTGCTTTCCAAGAGGGTTTCTCTATGCTCAAGGAGAAAAGCTTCAGGGCCACCTACCTTCTGTGTCACCCCACGTTGGATGGGTTTTCTGGGTACACCTCGTCCCAGACCCACTTGCCTCTGATGTTACAAGTCTTGGACAGTCTTGGCCTTTCTAATGTAACATCTGAGTCGATAGCACTGACGGGCCCGAGAGGGTCAGCCCAGCCTTGAATTCTGTTCCCTTGCTCCTCAAATGCTAGACTAAGGGAATGCCAACGGTCCCCCACCCTTTAGCGTTGAGAGTTTTCAGTCTGTATGTTGTTGTTAAGTGGGTTCTAATGTATAGCGACCCTGTATAGGGTTTCTGAGGAGCGGCTGGTAAGTTTGAACCACCAACATTGCAGTTCAGTGCTTTTTCCTACAGCGTCACATCAGTCTGCATAAGTCCTCAGTAAACATGAGGTAAATCCTTAGCTGCTAGAGGTCTACCATGCTCCAAATCCAATCATTCCAGATCCTGTTAGCCCAATAATCTCATCACAGTCACTGAGGCCCACCAGGGGACTTCAGCTCTTAACTTAACTGATCACAGCCCCTCCCTTTTTTCCTCTCAGAGAGAGACCCTCCCTTGGTCAGGCCCTGCCCTGAGTATGACTCAATTTCTCAAAAATCCAAGCAGGGCCCTAACCCATACATTATTGTCATTGTTAAGTGCCATCGAGTCGATTCTGACCCATAGCGACCCTGTATAAGGTTTCCAAGGAGCATCTGGTGAGCTTGAACCACCAACCTTGCAGTTCAAACGACTTTGCAGTCTGACACATTACCCACAGCGCAACACCAGGACTCCTAATGTTCTAGGAACCCTATATAGGATTTCCAAGGTTATAAATCTTGGCGAGAGCAGAAATCCTCTTATCTTCCTTCCCAGATTGGCTGGTGGGTTAGAACGAAACGACTCACCTTGCAGTTAGCAGTCCAGTGGTGACTCGACTGCCCCACCAGAGCTCCTAAGGGCATGGGCCCTGCGGAGTTGGAAATTCCTAAGTTTGGATGAGTCCCACAAAAGTTACAGCACAAGGGGAAAGAGTTTTAATTTCCTCCCCCAGAGAAGGGAACCCTGGTGTCCAGCTACCTAGAGCCCTGCTCAAAACCAGGGGCTTCCCAGCACCCCAGGCTGGGAGATTCCATCAGGGGCAGATAATAAAAGTTCCTTCCCCTGGCTCTGAGGCAGAAGACACGCGTCCTGAGAAAGAGGTGTGTGTGGGGGGGGTGGCAACCTCTCCTTCCAGCTGGTCTCAGCTGCCCCTCCCCCAAACCCCTCCAGGAGGTCCTCCCTACTGCCACCATGGTCCAGCCACCTGGCCAGTTATTTCTGGCCAAGGGGAAGGAGAAGTGAAACCAGATTTGGGGGGTGGGAGGTGTGTGTGGCAAATCCCTAGGCTAGGCCAGTCTTCTGGGGCTGGCCACACCCTGTGGGCCGCCCGCCCGCCCTCCCTTCCTCTTGCCCTGCCCTGCCCCCGCCCCCACCACCTAGGACCGGGCAGGCCCTGGCCACGCCTAGGCTGCACCCCAAGGGGAGTCAGAAAGGGGAAGTCGCGCTCACTGCCCTCCCTGTCCAGCTCAGCTGTGATACTCTCGCAGGAAGCCTGGCCCTTGAACTTGAGAAAGGGGCTGCACGCGGGCGGGCGGGCTCTACTCACCTGAGCCCTGCCAGGGTCTGGGGCCTCGGAAGAGCTGACAGCCCTGCCTCTTGTGGTCCATGAAGGCAGTGATGGCCTCCAACGGGAAGGTCTGCAGGCAGCGGCCGCAGGTCAACAGATCTTGGTGTTTGTCGGTCCAAGGCTGGCGGTCTGCAGGGAGGAAGCGGGTGGTGAGCGTGGGGCGGGGCCAGGATGGGGGCCCGGGTTCCGAGAGAGAGGGGGAAGGCCGAGGATGAGAAAGAGGCCCGGGGGCCAGGACCCGATGAGGGAGAGCAAGGCCAGGGGTCCTCCCCCAGTGCAGGGGGTTCCCTCCCACCCGCACGTCAAGGGAAGGGAGGCTGGGGTCGGGGAACTCACCGAGAGGTTGGGGGATCAGCGACGTCCACAGGGCCCACTGGTTCCGCGCGCCGTGGGTATGGAGGGCGGTCTCAGAGGGCGTGGGTCCGGGAGAATGGCGGGGTTCGTCCCTGAGGTGCTGAGGCGCGGGCGCCTCCTTAGGAGAGAAGGGCCCTAGTCCCGGGGCCTGTAGGTGCCGCGCGTCTAGCTCGGGCTTCATTTCGATGACGAGGTCCGGTATTTCCATATCGCCGTCTGAGTTGGCGGCGGGCACTGGGTCGACTCGGCGGGGCGCGCTGCCGGCCTTGCGGCGGGACATGGGTCGCGCGCGGGCCGGGTGAGAGGACGAGCAGGCAGGCGAAGGACGCGCAAGCCGTGCGCTCCGAGCTCTGTGCTCAGGTGAGTGGCTGCAGCGACCCTCCGCGGACTCTTACACGTGCTGGCCGGACCGTGGCTCCGCCCCGCGAGGGCGGGGCCTGGCGGGAGGGACGGGGCGGCCCCCCAGGGGCCCGAGGGCAGCCAGCCTCCATCGACACCGTGCCCACTGCCACTGGCGGAGGGACCAAATCCAATCTCACTGAGTTTACATTACAACCAATAGGGACAGCGATCCCTCGTCCCATTTTACGTCCAGTGAAACTGAGGCACAGAACCCTTCGCGAGAAAATGGTACCGGCCACGTTTCTAATGCTAGTAACAGTCTAATGGGCTGTTCCACTAAATACAGTACAATTAGAACTCATCTAGCAAACATTTATTATTAAGCACTGGGGCATACAGCAGTGAGCAAAACAAAATCCATGCCCTGGTGGAGTTTATACTCCAGCGGGGTAGACTACAAGCAAGATCATTATGTAAAAAAAGAAAGTGCTTTATCTTTGATAAGTGTCGGAGCGGTAAATAAAGCCAGGAAGGGGACAGGGTTACTGGGATGGGGGCTTCAATTCTTTTTTTTTTTTTTTGCTGATATCGGGCAAAGGACCTGGTGTAGTTAATACCCTAGGGAGATGAGAGGGCCAGCCAGCTGACTTGTGTATTCAGGAACAAGGGAGATAGGGAGGGGGTGGGAGGCGGGTGCCATGGAGTTGATTCCGACGACTCACAGCAATTCTATAGGACAGGGTAGAATTGCTCAGTAGGGTTTCTGAGACTTAATTTTTACCGTAGCAGGCAATCTCATCTTTTTTTTTTTCTTTGAAGCGACTGATAGGTTTGAACCGCTGACCTTGCAGTTAGCAGCTCAACACTTAACCACAGCACTAAAGAGCCAATGGTCTTACCTCCCTCCATTAGGGCCTCTAGAACTTCCCTGGTCATAGCCGCCCTTTCTGATCATGCTTTGAAAAGCCGCCCTTTCTGATCATTCTTTGAAAAGCATCCGGGAGCCTTGCGGGACCTACGGCATTATAATATCGGACTATTTGTTGATTACTTTCTCAGCCCCTCAGAACACTAGCCTCTGAGGTCAGGGCCAGGCGGTGCCCAGCCCCAGGTGTCCCCAGCCCAGCATTGAGAGTACTGGGCATTTCACTTGCTGATCTCTGAAAGAGCAGCTCCAGGCCAGGTGTGATCTTCTCACATTGTTATTCAGGTCTCAGCTCAATTGTCCTCGGGAGAGAGAGCCCAAGGCCTCCCTGACCACCTGACCACCTATCTAAAGTTGCCCCACCCTAACTGTAGGCCTTGCAAATTACACTCAATGACCTCCATCTGTCCCCGGTTCTCTCCTGAGCCTCAGTTTCCCCATCTATCCAAGGAGTTTAGGGAATTTGGAATTCAGGGATTTACCTGAGGTTGCCTTTCTTTCAATGAGTGGCCCTCTAACACTCAATTCAAGAAGCTTCCCAATTTTATCACTCTCTACGGGGGTGTCGCTCTGTAGTATAAGCTCTGGAGTGCTAATCGCAAAGTCAGGGATTCGAACCCACCAGTTGTTCCTAGGAAAACATATACAGGGTCACTATGAATTGGAACCGACTCCATGGCACTTAACAACAACCTGGCTCCTCTTTGTTATTTTTAAAATATCACTTCTTATACTCTGAAGACTCTTTTTTAGATATTTGCTAGTTTATTCTGAGGGACAGATTCCTCACATCTTGCTCACTAATATGTTCCCCAAAAAACTCATTCCCAGTTCGTTCAACAAATACTGAGGTCCCTTTGTGACTCAGATACCCCCAGAGTCCTCGCCTGCATCGAAACCGTGGGGAGGAAGTGAATTCTGTTTGAGGGGGGAACGGTGAGGTCCACTGCTTCTCGGGGCTAGATCGTTCCTGTGCAGTGCCTAAGTAAAACGGACCCGCAGGGAGGACTGGAGGGCAAAATGACCACATTCAGACTATTTCAGTTACCCTGCTGCTGCAAGCTTTTTTTTTTCTGGTTTCAGGTGGGGGCGGCGGGATTCGGTGAGGCGGTATCCGTGTGTCTGAGTAGCAGGTGGGGGTGCAGACAAGTAACCTAGAGGCCAAACAGACCAAGCAGAGAGGGGATCAGTTTCTTTGACCGTAAAGTGGGCAATCTGGACATCCCCCAACTCGCACTTGGCAGATCACGCAGGAGCCAAACCAGAGGGCTGGTGTCCTGGTCTGTGCTCGCTTCCGAGCTTGCGAGCCCGCCAGCCACCACGTGGTGCAGCAGAGGCGGCCGTGCGCGGAACCCAGGCTCAGCGGCTTGCTATGTGCCCGGGCCTCTGCAGCGGGGACGCCGGCGGAAGTGGGGGCGCCAGAGCCGTGGACTTAAGTGAGTGCGGGATGGTGTCGGGGGGTGTCGGGAGCGTGTTCCCTCCCCGCCCCTGACTTTTGCCGGGGACCCCCACCCCTGTGTGAGGCCAGCCGTGGCGAGAAGGGCAAGGCTGAGCCTGGATCACCGGCAGCGGGAACGTTCTTGTCCTCTAACGCAGTTGGTGGGGACGTCCCCGCATTGGGTAGGGATGGGATGGAGAGTCAGGGGCTGAAGGTAGGCTCCCCCCTCGGGCGATCATCACTGTAGTCAGTATAGTGGGGACAAGCCACAGACTCCCGCCTTTTCCTTAATTGGTGCCTGGAGGTGGGGACTGTGGCCATCTGGAGTGTTCTGGGATGAGTGGGGAGTGGACGCCTGGGGGCCGGGAGGACCTATTTGTATAAGAAAAGAAGAGCCCTGGGTGGCCAGGGTAAAATTGAAAGAGAACTGACCGGTCCCCGGGGGCAGATGGGTGGGGATGAGAGGTATTCTGTCCTCCGGGTGGGTTCTGACCCACCTAGGGAGCCACATTGTACTAATTTGCATCTAGAGGGTTAGTCCTTGGGTGTGTGTGGACACGTGGGTAACGTGGTTCATTGAGGATGAATCTGAGAGCCTTTTTGCTAATCCGATCATTAAGCTCTAGTCTTACTTTGGCACTTTTGAAGTGATGGTTTATGTTGTCCACTGTACTGCTCCTTTCTCTAAAGGAGGTGGGACTACTGAATGGGCCGCCTGCCCTGCCACTGATGGACTCTTGAGTCTAACCCAGGAGGCTTTCCAGTGGTTGGGGGGATGGGTGTGGTCCCTTTCCCTGAAATCTTCCAGCAGTAAGTCTTTGGCTTGGAGTCTGAAAGGATAAAGGATTTCAGCCAGGTCACCTGGGAGCCTGCTTTTTGCCTTCTGGGGAACACCCTTGCCTGATCTTTCTCAAAGCAGATTCTTATCTGGTCACACCTTTGCTTCCAAACCTCCCAGAAGGGGCTCCCAGTGAAGGAGTCTGCCCTCCTGCGTTAGGGCAAGGGTGAACGGCTTGGTTGCTTGGTCAGACCAACTCTTGGTCTCCTCCTTTCCTTGGCATTTAGTAACTTACAATCAGCAACTGCTTTCCATTGTGCCCCTTCACTTATTTCATTTGGAATCTGGGGTCGCCTGTGGATCTCCTGATGGGGAAACCACAGCCTTACATTGGGCCCTCCCTTCATTTTGTTTTAGCCAGAGATTTCATGTCATCTTTGTCCTTTTTCTTAGCTTTGGTAGCGTAGTGCTTACAAGTCGGGTGGCTCACCTCATGGTCAGCAGTTTGAAACTGCCAGCAATTTCTGCGGGAGAAAGATGAGGCTTTCTGCTCCAGTAAAGATTTGCAGCCTTGGAAACCCTATGCAGGGTCGCTATGGGTCAGAACCGATGCCATAGCACATCACCACCACCATTGCCATCAGCTCTTTATTCCTACTACCTCTGGAGACTAGGGTCATTCTCTTCACTCAGGTGTTAATGTCATTTGAAGGAGAGCCCAGGGGACGGGTTATTCCCATGACTTACCTTTGAGTGACCTCGAACAGACACATCAGAAAATATATTTATCCCTTAATCGCATTTACGAAAAATCTTTATTGATTTTTCCCTCAACCCCCAGATCCAAAACAACAATCAGAATCGCTCATAGAGCTGTGCCTTAGGGTTTCCGAGGCTGTGTACCTTTCCCTCTCTATGAGGCTGATGGGTTTGAACCTCCAGCCTTATGGGTAGCTGCCTGATGCCTATCCCACAGGGCCTCAGGCTATCAGCAAATCCTGTGGACTCTCAACCTTCCAGACACATATTAATCTCTTGGAAGGGAACCTTTTTTTGTATGTACACTTTTCCAAAAATACAAGAAATCTTTAAAAAGCAAAATCATATACTAATCTGACCATTTTGTTCCACCTCCACTGCCCCACCCCATCCCAAGCACCTTCATCTTCTCTCTGGATCAGTGGCTCGCTTACTGGGCTCCATGGTTTTTTCCCCTCTCTCTTGGAGTGTGGCGCTGTGGGCTAATGTGTCAGACCACAAAGTCATTTGATCTGCAACGTCAGTGTTTCAAGCTCACCAGTTGCTCCTTGGAAAGCCTATACAGGGTTGCTATGGGTCGGAATCGACTCGATGGCACTTCACAACAACTTATGATCTTATTCTTGCAACAGGCAGAGCAAGCCTAATCCACTGTCTCTGAGTTGATTCCAACTCATAGTGCTCCTGTAGGGCCGGAGGGCAGAGTACAGCTGTCCTTTAGGGTTTCTGAGACTAACTCTTCACAGAGGTAGACAGACTTATCTTCCCCCAGAGACCTGGGGAAGACTGACACCATGGAAATCTCCAAGGAGGGCGGGGCCCACAGATGCTGTTGTTAAGTTCTGTCAAGTCGGTTCTGACCTACTGCAACCCTGTATAGGGTTTCCGAGGAGTACCTGGTGAGCTTGAACCACTGACCTTGTGGTTCAAACTGACTTTGCAGTCCAGAGCCTTAACCCACAGAGCCACACCTAGGACACCAGTAAACCTGGTCTTTGTTACTACCTTTCCCCAGAGCTGACAGAGAGAAAGCCCTCC